TGAAATGGACATTCTTTAAGGAGTAATGCTTTCAAACCATTAAATTCACCACACATATTGCTAGCTTCGTATCCTTGACCCCTTATTTCTTTCACATTCAAACAATGACGCGAAAGAACATCACAGATCTTTTTTTTTTTCAATACAAACGAAGTAGTTTCCTTCACATGGACTAGATCAAAAAATCTTTCACGTATAAAACCTTTTTTGTCAACATATCTCAACACAATCTCCATTTACTCCCTTTTCGATTCATCACAGGCTTCATCAACTATGGCATAAAACTTTTGTTATCCAATTTCATATCGAATATACTTTTTATATCCTAGATTGAAAAATACAAAGAATCTCTTTTTGGATTCTCAGAGAAACAAACTTTGAAGCATTGTTCAAAATTGTTGCAACCTCGTCATTGTAAGAACCCAAGAAATTTATTAATTCAAGAAAGTTTTAGCAATTAATTAAATATTTCGTTTCATCGCAACCCCGTAAACTACAACCTTGAAAGATTAATCACTTCACAGCTTCTATAGAAACTTTGAGTTGCAGTCGATTTCTTGTAACTTGTTGATAAGTTTGTTTTTCGATCACCTTTTGAATATGTTGAAGAGAGTTTCTCAAATCGTGATAGTTGTTTCATGGCATTTTTGTGGATAGAGTTTGCGTCATTCTCAACATGATTAAGAAAAGCACAATTGGATCCTGCATTAACTTTCTTCCAAGATCGAAAGCCATCACGAATAAAAGAATTTGATCCAAAACGTTCATTGGGCTCATTAAAGAGAAAACATGGAAGACAATAAGCAGCATCCTTGATTGGTGAATATTCCAACCAATCAGAAAATAATTTATACCATGAAGCCAAAAACCACCGTCTATTCTTATCAACATATTTTGGATCATTAGAAGGAATAGGTTGATAAGGTCCCTTACAAATATATGCTCTGCGAACATCATCTTATTGATTTGGAGGAAAATCCCAAATAGAATTTTGTATTCTAAAATCACGCTCAATAGTGAATGTATCAAAGGTTTCTTGTTCAACTCTTATAGCTTTACTCTGACGATTATCTACCTCAGAAGAACTAATAGGTATTGAACTTGAATTTGGAGAGCTCTCACTAGTATGAAGACAATCACTATTAAATTCAAACCCCGTTTGATCAACTGAATTTTTAGTATGAGAAGAACCAATATTGTTACTGGAAGGACTCTTTCTTTCGAAAAAAGAATCGATTTTCCGATTACCCATATTTGGAACTGTAGAGGTTTTGCACTTTTCTGTTTCTTGAAAACAATGTAACTATGTAAGAGAATTATTATCAAATTTTAATAATAAATTTTCAAAATTCATTGTCAAGATATTCGAATGCAAGATAATTAAATATTTAAATTTAAGAATTTCACTTACCAACAAAGAAGAGCGACTGTTCAACTTGGGTGTGATTTGTGAGAAGATCAAAATCTAGATTAAACCAGAGTGAATCAGATGCACAACTCGCTCCCTAAATCTACACCAAAACCATCAAATCCATTAATCACAGAACCTAATTACAAGATTAATAAAAATAAGAAGAAAGATTGCGATTGAATGAAAAAGGGAATTTAATCCCGCGCAGTCTGGGCAAAATAACCAATGGTTGGTGGGTGCTTACTTGGTTATTCCAAATCTCCAATGGTAGCGTTGTGCAAGAATTTTAGTAGTGATAAAAACTAAAATAATAATAAATAACAAAATTAATGGAATGAAAATGTCAGACAAAATGTTAATCCGAAATAAAAATAATTACAATAAACATATATTATTATTGAATCAAACGAAATAAAATAAATAAAGAATTAAAGAACGAAATTAGTTACTCGCTTGTTGACATGAAATTGATTGAGTAGATGTAAAATTTTGTTGAGGCATGTATAAACAGTTTTCTTCAAACAGATTCATCATCTCCTCAATGCTTTGAGTAACGCTGACGTTAGGATACAACAAAAAACGATCACAACAATAAGGGGGTGTTTGGTTCAAGTAATATGAGATTACCAGGGGAATGTAATGTCATTTCCTCGTTTGATTAGCCAGTAATCCTATTCCCCGGTAATCTTTTATTACCAACAATGGTATTTTGGGGTATATTACTGGGAATGTGATTACCACATTCTCTTAGGTATTGTTAGATTACCATCGCTTTGGACTAAAATGCCCTTAAATTTTTTTTCTTCAAAAATATCCTTCTTCTTTCGTTGAATAATAAAAATTCTACGAAGGTTAAATTACAAATTTATCCTTAAACTATTTTAGATTTACAAAAAAATCATAATATGAAGTTCAGGGGTTAAAATAAAATTTTACCCTTTCATTAAACCTATTTATCTTTTCAATTTTATAAAAATAATTATATAAATTTTATGAATTTAAAATTTTTAAAGAAAATATATAAATTAATTATAGTAATATTATAGTAAAATTCAACTTGTTAAAAAAACAAATATATAATAAGGATAATTTGGTAAAATATACATTCCAATAATCTTTTATTCCTTTAACCAAAAACTGTAATATTATATTCTTGCTAAACGAACCAAATACAAAATACAACATTCTCAGTAATCTTATTCCCGTCGATAATCCTATTCCTACTGGTAATCTTACATTCCGTGAACCAAACGCACCCTAAGTACAACCGTAGTGATCAATCAAACATAATCTTACATTTCTTTATCACCGAAAAAATGAATTTCGAAGAAAGTTTTTAAATGTTATCATATTCCAAAGTTCTAAACTTTTGTGTTGTAACTTGTGTCTAAGAAGTGTCTCAACAAACCTATTTACAGTGGAGATGAAATTAATCAAAAGGTTATGACATTTTGATGAAGAGATTTGTTGAAAAACTAATAAGTATAATTGATTGGATGCAACTTTAAATAAAAAAAAATTATTCACCAAATGACATGACTTATTATAAATAATATCAATTTTATTCAATTATTTTATTATTATTTTAATAATTCTTCATATGAAATTGATGATTTCAAACACTAACTCGATGCGGTGATAGATTCTACGTTCGATATTTGCATAATATATGTAGGTGTCCCCTTTTAAACTTTTCCTTGTAAAAATATTTACCTTACTGACTTTTCAATATACATGATATCCTTGAACTGTCTTGTCATTTGTGTAAGCGATGATATACCTTACACAAATATCTCACTGACAAGAATTTGATTCTCATGGTCATGCCCATATAATTACACAAATATAATTATAATCAATTGAATATTTCATTTTTAAAATTATTATTATTCTTTTAATTATTTTTATTTGTTACATTTTTAATAATATTAATTTTATTTTTTAAATAATTTAATAAATAAAATAATTACAAAAATAATATTTTAAAATGATGTATTTTAAAATATTTTAACTTTGTTTTTTTAAATAAAATTTTCCATCCAAATGTACCATAAATATTCATAAAAAATATATTCAACTAAGTAAATACCTATAATATTTTAATGCATTTCAGAATCACTGTTCTTATAATTAAACTTTTAATAATTAAACAAACAGAAAATAAATGGCTAGACTTTGATAAGTGATGTGTATTTTTGATTCAAGATTAAAAAGAAAAATGATAAAACAACATTTAGTATCTAAATTTTGGCAACATTTTCAACTTAATCCTTGTTGTTGTTTTTTTTAATTTCAAGACCCTTCATGAGGCGTAACCTTAAATTAAAAAGTAAACAAAATATCAAATTTATAGATCAATATATATAAAAAACTAATTTAAGGATAGAATTAAGAAATTATTAAATTTAAGTACTAAACATTACTTTATCCCATAAAAGTAAAAAACAAGTTAAATAAGAAACAAGGATGAGCATAGCATCCAAACAAGTTTTGATCTTACTTGATCCTATTAGTTCCTTTTTTTAAATTAGGGTTTGATTAGTTTAAGGTCTTTTTTAGAAGTTGGGTCGGGACAAGTTTGATTTTATGATGAAAAATGTTTGACTCAAAAAATAATATAATTATATTTTATATATGTAAAGATAATTAAAATAATATCTCTATATATTATTTTTTTTCAATTATATTTATATTTTATCGAATAAAATTAAGAATATATATATAAATAAAATTAAGTACATATTTTATTTTAGGGTAAAGTACAAAAATGGTCCCCGACTATAAGATAATATTTTGTTGAGTTCCTTGATCATTAAAAGTTATAAAATGATCTCGTCTATAAGGAGTTGCTTTGTTGAGTCCTTCAACTATTAAAAATTATAAAATGGTCAGTCGTCTATTTCTTATGTTCCAAACTTATCATTTTCTGTTAAAAAATTAATAGTTGTCTGAGCTAAACATTAACATGTTGACTGAGATATGATAGTTGTTTGAGATTATAAAATCATATTTTATCATATCTCAGTTAGTATATTAACGTTCAGCTCAAATTGTCATCAATTTTTTAAGGAAAAATAACGAATTTAAAACTTATTAAATAATCGAGTGAAAATTTATAAGTTTTTACAGTCAATGAATTCAAAAAAGCAATTCTATATAGTCGGAGGACTATTTCGTATCTTTTAATAGACATAAAATTAAAAAAGTCACATAATTAGGTGATCATTTGTGTACTATACCCTTTATTTTAAAAGAATGATCAAATTTGAATCAAATAAAGTTCTTCTAAATCTGAATTAAATTAATTCAGATGAAAGATACTTCATCCAATCCGACCCATCCATTCATTAAGAAATGACTGACCAAGCACTTTTGGAAATCCAAATTCTCTCCTGTCTAATTTTCGAGCTAAAATAACTTTATTTATATTTGGGCATTTCCGTAATACCACACCGTCCCTAAGCCCTTGTTTATATTTGGCCTCCACTTTGTTCTTACAGACCAGAACCCAGTTCTTTTTTCATAACACCACCTCCTTTCCAACTCAGTTTCAACTCGACGGCGATTCACTTCACCAATTTTCTTGTAAATTCATCCTACAAATCGAGTTCGATACGTTCTGCAGTTGAAAAATGATGGGATCGGAGCTGATTTATAGAGGCTCTGAAACCCAGCCTGCTTCCGATCCATATTCGCCTAAACCCGTCAAACCATGGGCCTCCGTCACTCGTCCGATCCATTATCTCCTCCGCGAACAACGCCTTCTCTTTGTCTTCGTCGGCATTGCCGTAGCCAGCCTGATTTTCACCGTCTTCCCAGCTTCACCGGCTCCCCACGGCCGCTTCACCACCCTGATCCCTGATTCCATCACCTACTTCACCGTGGAGACCCAACAGAAATTCTCCTACGTCCCGCACCGCCTTGGATTCGGGTCGGCCAACCCGACGGGCAAGATCCCGTTGGGGCTGAAACGGAAGGGTTTAAGGATCGTGGTGACGGGCGGAGCCGGGTTCGTTGGATCCCACCTCGTGGACCGTCTGATCGCGAGAGGAGACAGCGTGATCGTGGTCGATAGCTTCTTCACCGGACGGAAAGAGAACGTGATGCACCATTTCGGGAATCCGAACTTCGAGCTCATCCGACACGACGTTGTCGAAGCGTTGCTAGTGGAGGTTGACCAAATATACCACCTGGCCTGCCCGGCTTCCCCGGTCCATTACAAATTCAATCCCGTCAAAACAATCATATCCTTTTATATGTTTAATTCATGGATTTAAATTGCCTTTGGGTCGTGTTTTCGGTTAGGATTATTACGATTGAAGCAATAGCGGACCGCTATATAAATCTCTGATTTCATCGATGCTAGAAAACCTGGATTAACTCTGTGTTCATGTTTTGTTTCTTTAACTGTGTTTTCCACAAGACAAACGTGGTTGGAACACTGAACATGTTAGGTCTGGCAAAAAGAGTAGGTGCCAGGTTCTTGTTGACCAGCACCAGCGAAGTCTACGGAGATCCACTCCAACATCCTCAGAAAGAAACTTATTGGGGCAATGTTAATCCCATCGGTTAGTTTCCTCCATTGTTTTACTTCGTGAAATAATTCATAATGAAATCTACTATTATTATGAAAGAAGAATATCAAACCGTTTTTATATTTGTGATACTTGGGGAATGGGTCGGGGGACATTTATGTAAAATTCATAAGTGAGATTTATATAATGTGAAAGTTGAGATCTAGTTGGTTGTATTAATTGTAGTTTGGACGCGTGTCTCCCTTCTTTGTTTACAAATTTCAAAAGATTTTCTTTGTTTAATAAAAGCTGTTTTGTTTGAATTTGTATGGGACAGGTGTCCGTAGCTGTTACGATGAGGGAAAACGCACTGCTGAAACCTTGACCATGGATTATCACCGAGGAGCCGGAGTCGAGGTTTGTTCTCATGCCCATTTAAGAGATGTTAATGACATGATACGAATATAAAAATTAGGTTCGTAGTAATATGTATCGAAATAAATAAAATTATAAGAATAAATAAAATTAAATGATTTACTTGTAAATTATTTTTATTACGTTAATAAATTATTTAATAAAATGCAGCAAATTTTAAATAGAAAACATCAATAAATTTTATTAAACACTCAACTATTCAAACAAAACAAGCATGATCATCTACATATTAGATTTTAATCTTCTCCGTTTTATTAAAAAAATAATTAAGTGGAAAGTAAAAAAATAATTTAAAAATGTCACATCAGTATCATCGTTAATTTTTTAATGATGAGTAACAAAAAAATATAACGTTAAGAATGATTTTAAAAAATAATAATAATTGAATGATTAAAACATAAATAAAATAATAGGTGGATCATTAAATAAATAATTTATCATTGTCTAATTATATGTAAATTTATAATTTTGGGCCATGCGTAAGAGGAGCCATGGGCAAGTGCCCTTATTGCCCAGCAACAGGGACGGAATTGTTTGTTCACCTACTTTTTTTTCTCTCTATTTTTTTAATTCGACATTCGAACTCATGATCTTTGTCAATATAATGTCTATCCAATTAATATTGGATCAATTACAACGTGTGTGTGCTAATTTGTATAAAATTTTCGGTTTCAGGTTAAGATTGCTAGAATTTTCAATACTTATGGACCTCGTATGTGCATCGATGATGGTCGTGTCGTTAGCAATTTCGTAGCTCAGGCCTTAAGGAAGGAGCCTTTGACTGTGTATGGTGATGGGAAGCAGACGAGGAGTTTCCAATATGTTTCTGATCTGGTAACTGATCTTTGGTTTTGCTAGACTTTGTTGGCATTATTTATTTACAAAACAAGCTTTGCTGAAACAGGTGGAGGGTCTCATTCGCTTGATGGAAGGAGAACATATCGGACCTTTTAATCTTGGAAACCCCGGAGAATTCACCATGCTCGAGCTTGCCGAGGTAAAACCATACCGCATAAATCTTGCTAATGTGAAATGTGTTGGAAATGATGATTACATTAGTGAGTTTTCTTTCCGTATGGGTTCGCAGGTGGTTCAGGAAACAATTGATCCGAATGCGATGATCGAGTTCCGACCCAACACAGAAGATGATCCTCACAAGAGGAAGCCTGATATCACCAGAGCCAAAGAGCTACTTGGTTGGGAACCCAAGGTGTCTCTCCGCAAGGGTCTACCTCTAATGGTGTCGGACTTCCGGCAACGTGTATTCAGTGACCACAAGGAGGGCAGCAACGCCAACAATGGATCATCATCTTAAGGTCTCGTATTTACACATTTCGAAACACCAAATCAAATATAGTTAGCGGCCGCGATGGCAGCAGCAAATGAATAGATTTTGGAGGTTCCCTTTTTGACAATGAGATTGGCATCTTTGTATTAGTTTCATGTCTTCTCTACCCCTTTCAAGCTTAATTGACAGTGAGCTTTCTGAATCTAAATTTATCATTCTTTTTCTTTTAGCTTATGTTTGATAACAAGTAGGGTTATTAACTTATGAATTTGAGTACTTCAATAACATAAATGTTTTACACTTTTACGTTTGGTCGAACACGACACGAGACGAAAATTATAGTCCGGATCAGAAATATTCAGACAGTAGCTATAATCTAATATCACTATCGAGCTACATTGCAGAGCGATGTTGCATGCGAAATCCCTTCAATCCACACAAATACCTACCATTTGAATGCATTCGACCGCTCGTCGCGGCCATCGATTCCGTCCAATTATCGAACTTTTTCAACCCTACATTCAACGGACGAAGAATCTGCTCGAAAGTTATGGCATCGCACCGCTTGTCGAGCCAAGCCGTAATGTCTGCGAAAACGATCTCTATGTTTTCATCGGGCTCTCCCGATGTCAAACCATGCCACATCCCTGGATACAGCTTTATCGTTTTGTCCCGGCTGCTCGCTTTATCGTACAATGCCTTGCTTATTTCAGGGTCCGTTACTATATCAGCCTCCCCGTGCAACACAAAGAAAGGGAGTGCCACCTGCCAAAAGAACAACCCCGACCAATAAGTTTTAAATGCAATATAAATGAAAAGGACTCGAGAAGCTCGACCGGTCCGTCGGCAATGATAATCTTTCTACCTAACTTTTTTCACTGCATTTAACCCATTCAAGGTTAGATCCTATTGACTGGTGCAACAAGGAGCTACTCCCATTTATTATTCCCTTACCCCTTAAACACAGAGTATAGCTTTTACCATAAATGGTGTTTGAAGCTGAAAGCTTGGACTCTTTTTTATACCTCATTTAAACCATCTTCAAGGCTGATGCTGGTTCGGAGCATTTCTAGTGCGGTTTTAAGCCTAGGCTTGTCTTGGTATATCAACTTATTGTTCCTTATCTGCAACCATCATGAAACCAGAGAGACACAGCATGGGTGAGCTATGATTATGGTGTTTGATCATTCAAAATCTGCAAAGCACCGACACTCGGTCAAGAGAGTGTTCGAGCATAGACAACGGTGAATGTCCTAACCAGTTCTCGCTTAATAGGGTCCTTGAATGCCGAATCAATGACGTCTTTTGTGGGTACTATCTTCCATTTAGGTATAACTTCTTCCATTTTAGTCAATATGTTCACCACCACCGGGTGTGGCTTCACTTTCTCCGATATCTATAAAATTTTTGTACAATTAGAACAGCTCAAAAACAGACCTTATGTTATACACATCTTGTGTTTATATGGTGTCACCGTTACCTTACACATGGGAGCAACAAGAACAGCACCATGCCAAAAGGAAGGGTCCTTTTTATGAAGCAATAAGGCCACTGCACCTCCCATTGACTCTCCATACAAGAATCTGCTCTTGTCTCTGTATTCTTCCTGACCTGGAAAATTCAACCATGGGTGGATGAAGTACAACGAAAAGAGTTGGCGAAGGATTAGTGACAAGTTTACCTACCACAGATGGACTTGAAAAAGTCACTGCAGTCATTAACTATGTTCTCAAACTTCTTGATGTAACATCGAGCACCCTTGGACCTTCCATGTCCTTCATAATCGATCCCGAACACCGCATATCCCGCTGCGGCTAGCCTGCTTCCACATTCTATTAAAGATCATGGTACCGGATTAATGCTACCCTGGAAATTCACATTATATTACTAAGGCAAAATACATAAATGATCCTTTGACTATAAGATGTTATTTTATTGAGCCTCCAACTATTAAAAGTTACAAAATGATCACTTTATTGAGTCAGTCAACTATTAGAAGTTATAAATTGATCACCCAATAATTAATATTTTTCAATCCTTTTTCGTTAAAAAAATAAGGTTTTCTGAAATGAACATTAGCCTACTGACTGGAATATGATAAAATCTTATCTCAAAATCATATTAGGTATAGTCGTTTGAGATTCTGTGATCATATTTTATTATATCTTAGTTAACAAATTAATATCCAACTTAAACTGTCGTCAATTTTTTAACGAAAACTGACAAGATTAAAATATATCAATTTTCGAAAGACTCAACAAAACATCTTTTAGTCGATGAACTATTTTATAACTTTTAATAATCGAAAGACTCAACAAAATAATTTATATAGTCAAGAGATTATTTGTGTACTTTACCTAAAAATTATATTACCAATCTTGGATTAGCTGGTTGAAGTTCACACAAGCCATGGAGGGAGAGAAAAATAATGAGGTATTAGTGTATGTTGTTGAATTGTCCCATCACATGATTTAGACTAAATAGCTGTTTATGAGAGAAATCTTAGTATCTGGTAAAAAGACTTTATGAGAGAAATCTTGGTGGACCAAACTGATTGTTGGCAACCTAACCAGAACGATCTGACCCACATTTTTTTTCATCACAGAGACCAGAAACACGAGGAACCAGAAGATTTCACATGGCAGATGATGATTCGTGAAGAACTATAACAAAATTCAATATTTTAAGGGAAAATGCGACTTTTTTTTATCATCATACAGATCTTGTGAGATTTCTGATTTCAATAAAAATAAAATAAAAATTGGGTAATCTTAAAAGAACGTGGAAAAGGGAAATAAGTTAAGTAAGAGTATTGAATACCTCTCATGAATCCACTGCACTCCATGCCATAACCTGCAAACGCCATTAATGGTCCAACTCACCTTTTACTTTTTATCTTTTGGGGGTGTTTAGATGATTAATAATACACTAATTGAAGAGAAGATTACTGGAAAAAAGACGAGGGAAGGGGTACCATGGCATAGGAAAACAAGAGCCTTTGGAGATGAGAAAGGCAACCATCTGCAAGTGAAAAGCAATGTTCCTCTTGAGTTCCTAACATGCTCCTACACCATCATCAAACACTCAACTCAATCTCAAAACTCTTAAAAAAACCCAGAAAAGAAGGAATATATAGAGCTGACCTCCTGGTATTCAAATGCCATGTTGTTCATGATGTTGGAGGAGCTGAGATTAAAGATGTATATACAGAGAAATAATGAAAGAAAAGCTACCAAATGGGGAAGCAAAGCAGAAGCTATTTGAGAAAGGAGAGTGGTCGAGGGTCAGCTACTCAGCTACTGCTTACTTTATATATTGTTGGGTGTGATTAGTCCAATCCAAAAGTATTTTAAAAAGTTGTAAATAATAAAAGAAAGGTACAGTTGAAGGGGATGGTTTATTGATAAAGATGGTTCAAACGACAAGGTTTAAGAGATGGTTAAATTAAGCATGGTAAGTTCTTCAACATTGCCCATAATTAGGGAAGCCCACTTATATTCCACTTATTCATTACATTTATTATTGCCAGTGGCCGGCATTGGATGACATAGGGATTCGAAATTCAACCACTCCATTGCCCAATCACAAACAACCACCTACTCCCCTTCCCTTGTTATATTATTTGGGTAAATTTTGTGTTTAGTACATAAAATATTAGTTTTGATCCGTTTTAATATCTAAACTTTTATTTCTTTCAAAATCATATCTAACGTTAAGTTTTTGTTTCATTTTAGTAGCTCGCTGTTAAAAACTGAACGGACAGGGTGACAAGGCATAGCTTCAGTGGATGGACGACCAATCCTAACGGTGGATCACTAGAGAATGACGAATTGACCAACATAATCTATTTTCAAGCCCATCGGACAGTGGACTATGGAGATCGGATGATGAAGAAATCGAAGTGTTCATCGTCAATTTGGGAGATTGAGAAGTTTTCCGATGAAATAAAGGTCGAAATCGCGTTCAGGGGGTCGAAAAGGTGTGAGCTAGAAAGTTTGGGCTTCATCGACCGACGGATGCGACGACCAACGACTATAAATGCGGCGGCCGACGAGCTCGTCTGTTAAATTTTTAACAACTTATACTAAAATCAAACAAAAACTAAACATTATGTATGATTTTGAAAAAAATGAAAATTTAGGTTCTAAAACGGACCTAAATTGATAGTTTAAGTACTAAATGAGTAGTTTACCCTATTATTTTGTGGGTAAATTACACTGATTGATCATTGGAGAAATTTTATTTTATTCCACTGCCTGAAAACTTATGTGCAAGTCCCGGATCAATTTTAGAACGGGACTCATTTTTTTCGTCCAACCCCATTTTTGGGGGGGGCAATGGCAATGCTACATTTGTGAACCGAGGGATTGAAAGACGAGAAGCAGAAGAATCTTTTTGTACTGAAGTTTGTTGGAGAGGATGATTGGAGCGATGGCGGCGAGAAGCTAATGAAAAAATGATTAAGTTTGGACTAAACTGATAAAATTTAAAAACGTTAAAGAATTTATTGGATCAAATTAACTCAATCTATAAATGTAGAAGATTAAGGGAAAATTATAGAAATCATCATTCACCTTTCTTTTTCCTCTTTATTTTGATCGCTGAAGTTTAATTTTTTTAATTTAATCACTCAACTTTGAATATTGAATTTTTTGTCACTCTTCCATTTTCTTTTATTAACTATGTGGTAACATGACATTTTTTTTTATTAATTTTTGAACTGCATTGTAGACACTAATTAATATTATTTTATATTCCACCATCCACTGTTGTCGCCTATCTTCGCCATCCTTGTTCCCATTTCGTCGCCTATCATCTCCAAAGAAGACCTGACCAGCACCACACACTCAACCACCATTCTGCTATTGTCTAAACGCCTCCACTATCATCATTCAACCCGAACTTTTTCCAATTGTCACAAGATTATAATATCTAGGCTTAATATAAAAAAGGTTCCAAACTATGCATATTTTCTCATTTAGGCGTCTAAACTTTTGTTTTCAGTCAATCTTAATACTTAATGTTTTCGATATTATCATTTTAAATGTTTGGTCAGTCACGATTGTTAAAAAAAATCGTTAAAAATAAATCAACCAAT